TCTATGATTCTATGGTTCTATGATTGGAGAGATCTAAGTCAATGCATAACTTTACCCAAGACAGCAGTTGCTTACCAAACTTTTGGCATATATTCTTCATTTGATTTGGGATTTCTTACCACATCAGTGGGCCTGCATGTGCTCTAAGTAAACAGAGAACCAGACACTGCTTCACTTGTGGTAAAAATGGAAATGCCAAAATGCACCACTTGGGCTGGGGGGGAGGAAAAGGAGGTGTTGAGAGGTGCCTCCCATGCTGTCCCCCTTAATAAAATTAAAATACTGTAGTGTTATGGAAAAGTGCGATCGTGCAACTGTATTGACAACCTGTAATGGTTTATAAATGCAGATTACCAAATTCAGCACTCTTATGTCTCCACAGTTAATATTCCTGGTCTCCTGCTATTCACACCTCAATATCCTGTGCTGAAAGCATATGCCAGGTCTTACCCAGGTGAGTAGCTGTTCTGACAAAACTTGTCATATAAGCACTACCACAGATATTGACTGGGGACACTACCTGTAAATTCTGTGTGGCAAGGCATTTAATCTGTATATGACAAATTCTGCTTCCTTGCTGTGATTCTAAAACAAAAGGAATAAACTACCAGTAGATTTGGGTAAAATAAGCTCCTTCACTATAATCAGTGACCTTGTGGCACTGAACTGGAATTACTGTTAGTGAAGATACTTAGATCCATTGTTTTCTTCCTCTGTTTGGAGGTTGAGTCCATAAACTTTTATGAGCTATAGTTTAGATAATGTTAGGAAATTGCTTGTCTGGAACTAAAATTATCTTATTGTTTGAAACGGGCAGGGACAGGTTTTGGTCTTTTCTGCATTAGTCTATTTGCTATAAAACAGATCTTATCTTTCAAGTATTATGGAACTGCTCATTAAATTTCTGAGCTTATACATGGAAATACAGTAGATCTGGCTTCTTGATGTCTGTGGCTGCGTGTGATTACAATAATTAACAATCTAGTTCATAAGAAGAGGGATCTGTGGAAAAAAAGCTGAAAGAATGTTTATATTCTGTTTGCGGTTTTTTAAGAGATTCTCAGGTTTATCTGGGTGAGTATCTTTATGCTTGTTAGAAATGTGTTTCCTTTGACGTATTCCCATCACAACTGGGATTAACTGCATTCTGGAGGCTGAGTCTGAATTCATTTACGCAGTAAATCAGTGGCAGAACAAGACTACATGCCAGGTTTTCTGCATTATCTATCTACCTTGATTTCCAAGAAGCAAATAGTGACTAATTTCTAGCCTTTTTTGGATTTATATAAATTTGTAGCCTAGGTCCATGAAAGGCTCCACCTTTTTGATAGCCTAAAGAAAACTGTTTACTTTTAAGAAGACCATGTACACTGTCAGCAAACTGAAATGTGCTGCATGCATGGATATAAAACCATTTACAGAATCATAGAATCACAGAATGGTTTGGGTTGGAAGGGACCTTAAAGACCATCCAGTTCCAACGCCCCTGCCATGGGCAGGAACACCTTCCACTAGACCAGGCTGCTCCAAGCCTCATCCAGCCTGGCCTTGGACACTTCCAGGGATGGGGCATCCACAGCTTCTCTGGACAACCTGTTCCAGTGCCTCACCACCCTCTCCAGGAAGAATTTCTTCCTGATATCTAATCTAAACCTCCCCACTTTCAATTTAAACCCGTTACCCCTTGTCCTGTCACTACAGGCCCTTGTAAAAAGTTCCCCCCAGCTTCCTTGTAACCCCTTCAGGTACTGGAAGGCTGCATACCACTGATCAAAGACAAGAGCACTTTCTTCACTGAGGTTTTTTTCCACTAGGATAATATACTTAGTATCTTCTGATCAGATGTAGTTAGGGAAGAAGATAATTTTTGTACAGTGCTGTTATTTTTGCAGTAAACAGTAAAAAATTATTCTTGCTGACGGTAGCTGAGTCTCAGGGAATTACTGTTATCATACAAAATGATGCTCTCAAAGAACAGTGCTAACTGCCGCAGACCCATGGGCTTAGGCAGTCACTCTTTGTAGGAGTTCACGCTGTTCAAACAAGTCCCGTGTTGTTTGCATTGACAATGTACCAAGCGAGTACTCCACCCAAAAGCAGAGCCGCGGTCTTGGAGAGAACGTTGCTGAACAAAAGCACAATCAGGAAAGAGCTGGAATTTGTGATGTTCAGAACTATTGTTCACCCCCACCATCTCCGCCCCAAAGCCCCCAAATTTTCAAATTCAGGGCTTTGATTCAGACTGACTCCTCACTGATGTTGATTGTTTTCAGACAAAGATTTTCTCCTTTTCCCCTCTTCTGACAAGAACTGCTACAAGAATTCAGCCCTCTCAGAAGTGCCTCCCTTCTGCTATATATTTCTTAACTGAGTTCTTGGCATAAGGAGGGGAGAAACTATTTCTAGCTGTTAGTAGTTTCGTGAACTGGGAAAGCCTCCAGCTTCTAGAAATGTATTTAAAGGCTTGAAGAAGATCCAAATTTCCAAACAACTTTTACTCCTTTGCTTGGTCAGCTGTCAGTATTTGATAAATAGGGTGGGACTATTGTCAATATTTAACAGCTTAACACAAATATTATTATTCATACACTGTAAAAATAGCACATGAAATGCAAATCAAATGCCTTATTCTATGGTTTGGTAGTAACAGAAGCAAGTGATAAAATCTCCCTTGGCTCCATACAAAGGCATAGAGAGGGAGGAAAATGTGACCAGTGGTAACAGTCTTCCTTGCTGGGAAACAAAACGGTGAGATCCCTCACTCCTCCCACCTAAAGTCATGCTGGGTTCTCTGATAGAAGCTTGTTGTGGAGTGTTTCCAAGTAAGACACAGCAAGGTATGACTGTTGATTCAAACCAGATTACCCGTGAGGCCTTCAGTAACAGAGCTCCTCCTCTCTCCAGTGACACGACACCAAGACCCCTTGAACTGCCCTGCAGTCACAAATTGCAATATAAACACCAATTATTTGTGGTACTTTCCCTATGATCAGAGAAATTCCTCCCAGAAAGCCACAGTTTGGCATCAGCTTGCTGGATGGAGAAGCCTGCCCTGTTCATAGTCATGTTGCACGTGACTGTGGCATTATTCTCACCTAGAAAATCAAGAAGCAGAGCAGTCAGTGTGAGATGGGTTTAATGCGTATCAGAAGGCCTGGATGTCACTCCACAGTCGTGTGTTCCAAAATTGTTTCCCATGACTTTAAATCCTCAGAAACATACCCCTGTCTAAATGGTTGGGCACAGCAGCCAGGAGATAATACCTTTTTAACTGGAGAGAGGCGGAGTGTCAAATGGCTCAGCCACAGCCATGCTCTGTGACAAGTGAGGTTAACTCACGAGAAGCACCGGCACCATCGGCTCGGCGTGCCTCAGCAGTGTTGCTTTTATGGGTAGTTAGACTGAGCCACCACCCACACAAAACAAAGGGTAAGGAACCGAGCCAGTTTCTCCAGGAGACTTTCAAATCTAGCATTGTTTCACATTTGGCTTTGGTCCAGTGTAAAATGCGTTTTGTGTGTTCCTAGAGCCCTGTAGAGAGTACCCTAAGGTAGCGGGAGGCAGCTCAGTTACTAGAATTGTAGTTTGTTGGTTACTCTGTAAATGTGTGAGTAAAACCAGGAAAGAAACACAAATAACAGTAAAATATTATTACTCCATTTTGTCCAAACAAGTCAGAGTGCTTTACCATTAGTTAAAACTAGTTTTTCCTCAAATTCTGACTGGGCTGTTAATGTGTTTCAACTGTCATCTAGAAAAGTCAGGTCTCAAAGCCCATTCCTTCCTTCTCCGCACAGAGCAGTGCTCCATTGAGAACTGGAAGGCTGAGCAATTGTCTTACAGACTGAAGGACAATTTTGTTACACTTTAAGCACATCATGTTCCTGTACACTGGTTTGTTTCGACTTTGCCTTAACTTTCTCATTAGTCACAATAGAGCAATGGTACCGCCTTCGTTCATGAGGTCCTCTGCGATGTCACAATGGATAGTACACATTTCTGAATAGTTAAGATCTTTTAGACCTAGGCAAATATCAGTTAGAAATAGTTCATGTAAGTAGACAAACTTTCTTCATACTCAATGTATGAAAAATCAAATTAAAAAGGGAAAAAAAAAGAAAAAGAGGTAGAGATAGAAATATTCCTGAAGTGGTTGCACTGAAACTGCCCTCCAGCTTCTGTAAATTGAGTTTGTTCAACCTCCTCTAATTCCAAACATCAAATCTATCATTGCTAGAGAGGAGATTGTAAGGATGGAGTAAGCATTTAAACTGGACTTTTCCAGACAACGACTGAAACACAAATGACACATGATCCTGAACAGTTAAATCCTTTATTAAATCTGTTAAGCAGTATGGCATTTCAGTCCAGTGTTGTCCCTAGCTAGTCACTCACGTATGTCTTGCAATATTTGTGTGTTTATTTTAGTGCGGTCTGATTTGTTAGAGTAAGGCTACTAATTCTGGTTGTATCAGTAGCAGCCACAGCTGAGAATATGAGGTTGTTGAAAGGAAAGGCGCATGACTAATTCCTATTAGTCTATAGGATTTAATTATTTGAGAAAATTATCATGTTTTACTTTAGGAACTATTTGTAACCTCTGCAACTCTTACCATGCACTAAGATATCAAAAGTTACTATTCAAGCGTAGCCAATGAGCTGTGGGGCGCTGGGGAAGACTTTGCGCATGTCCATACAGTACTTGTCAATAAAGATGGAGTTTTCCTTCACAGAAATTTCATGTTCCAGGTTTGATTTGTTGAGGACCAGCATCTGCAGAGTATCACGGGCTTCTTGCAGACATTGCTTTAAGGTCTGTAAGGTGTCATCTATTCTGTAAACTTCAGTCACAAGCCTGAAAGAAGAGAAGGGGACAGATTGCTCACATAACTTTAGCAGTCCTTCACCATGTTCCTTTTTTGACAGTAGGCAGGTCACACTTTTGGGCAGGATTTGAACAGCTGTCTTGGACTGAATCAATATGAAGCCTCTTTGCCAAGCTAGTTTGCATAGCACCTGTAAGAAGTGATGATTTCTTGCTTGTGCTGACCTTCAACAGCAAATGAAGCCACTCTGCTTTGTTACATCTGTCTATCTTCTTCACTTAGAGCCTCTCATTTGTGTAGCCTCGTTAGGGCTAGCACTGTGTTGAGCACTTGCGTGTGCTCCTGTAGAACACGTTTGGGTTAGATGTTACTGGAGAGTGCCGGTGTAGTTGGTGATAGCTTAAACTTACACAGCAGGATGTGCTAAATGGTCTTGGTCTGGCGCAGAAGCGTGTTAATCAGAAGAATTACTTGTCAGAATAACCACTGAATGTGGAGCTCTGAAATCAATTTTTTCTGTGAGCTGATATTAGTCACATTTCCATTGATAAGCCACTGGAAGAAATGTGGCAAATCGTCTTGTATCTAGTCACTGAGCTGGTTAAACTCTTTAACTTTGCCTTTTGTTTAATGTACTATTAACTGCTCAGTGCACTATAACATATAAGAAAGATTAATTTTTCCAGAACTCACTTTAACTTGTTTTGGGATAGTCCCAGTTGTTTCAGCACAGAAAAACTAGACTTTATGAATTTGTTTTCTGTCTAATCCCTTCCCCTTCAACTACAAAGTTGGCAGCACACACAGAGAACAAGTGCCAACATCAGCACTTCCTCTTAAACAAACAGCAAACTCAGATAACATTTACATGTTACAAAGAACTGGTTCATTTGATATTTTCTTTCCCAACTACAGTTGAGCTATTGGGCTGAATTCCTTTCGCTTTAAACCACATGAAAGAAATACACATAAATTATTTAAAAGCAAAAAAAAACCCCAAACCTTAAAAAGTGAATTAGCAAATGTTTTTAGTTTCTCAGATAGGATTTTGTCTCTAAGAAAATACATTTTATTTGAAACGTGAGCTCAGCCAAAAACTGTGATAGAAAAATGTCCAGATTTCAAATACTCTGTCAGAATTTTTACTTCTAATTGCAATTACGATGAACATAACATTCAATGATTGGGATCAGATAAAGCATCCAAAATAACCTGGTCTGGATTAGGGAGCTGTGGTGGAGCAAAATTCATATGTATGGGCGAAAGGAGAAGAGGACATGCTAATTATCCATCAATATACCTACATCTGGTAAGCAGTGTACTTGTGTAAAACATTTTGGTGAAGGTATTAGAAGTCATACTGACAGAAAACGTGCACATATGTTACGTCTAAAATACTTCTTAAGAGCTGTGCAGTGGCTTGTGAAGCTCTTGCATAAGTAGAAGCTAGTAGTTAGTTTGATTCAGAACCCCTGTGTACTTTATGTCACATTAATGTCCTTTAATTGGAGAAGATACTCAAAGACATCATTTTAGACAGGACCCTTCGGAACATTAACAGCATCACTGGCAATTGTGGGAAGAAGAGATAATGCAACACTCTGCTTCAGCACATTTTTGATCCTTAAGCAAGTTTTGTGTCTTGGATCTATGCAATCCTGCTGACTGGCCTGATGTCAATCATAATGCTGCAGGTTAGTGGAAGAGATCTTCAGGGAGAAAGTAGGGAGAGAACAACTTGGAGTATGACTGGAGTTGTGTATTAATATTTAAGGCCATCTTGTTTTGTTTTTATTAATAAAATGCTGCTTTAGCTTATTTGCATACCTAATTGATGGTGTAGTGGTAACTGAAGTGGCAAATGATCTGCTCCCATAGTAAAAACAACTGCGAAGTGAACGCTACAGTGCGAACGGGTTTTCTGGTTTCTCGCAGCTGAACTGCATCTAGAACAGGTGTGATTTATGTGGTATGAGAAGCCACGTGAAGAAATCTAAATGGATATAAAAGACTTCAGAACCAGAACAATATTTTGTGACAGAATGGATGTGTAGAGCAGAGTGTGAAGTTGAAGACATCTAATGTACAGATACACCGAAGGAAATGTCAAGATCTGATTAAGGAGACATAAGGCTGAAAAAAGATATATCGCCCTGTATGATTTATGGTTTAAGGAGTTAGAAAAAGTGAAAAGATGCCAGTACAATAAACTATGATTTATTCCCCTTCTGTGTTTGAATAGAAGCTTTTTGAGCTGATAAAACACTGTTTAGGGAGTTTAAGGCATTATGTGCTTCATTAATCTCACTGCATGTGAGGCTGTTGTATACAGTGGGATATTGCTAGAGAAAAAAATAAAAAGGGAATAGTTTTCTACTTTTCATAAAAATATGCAAAATTCTCATACTGGACTGTGAAATTCAGCTCTGAATTTCCTGGTGCAGTATTTCTTGAGAAAACCCCCACAGAATATTTTGAAGACAGTATTTTAAATAAGATACACTCAATAAAGTTCTTTTGGAACACTGATGTGTCCTAGATGGATTGGAAGGAGATAAGTGGGATTAAAATACATAAGACCCTCCTTCAGTCAGGAGGGAAGGAAGGCTAGTATCTTGGACACCTTCTGGTATATCCAGAAAGAGACAATATGCACTATACAAGGGATCACCAGGCTGATGCCAATGTGCTGGGAAGCCCCTACAGTTCTATACCCAAAATTTATGCCGGATGAGCTAACCCGTACAAAGATGATACTGGACTGGATACTGTGTAGTTGAAAATGAGTTGAGGCAGGAAGAGATGCTGCCTCATTCTTCTCTTGATTAACTTTTTAAGGAGTTGGACCGTTAGAGAGTTGCTTGCATCACAAGACAGAATTGCATCTGGGAAAACATATTACTAAGATTAGGCATTTCCTGAAGTGAAATCTTGTGTTTCATACAGAACAGAATTAAAATCAATTCCTAAGCTCAGATATGAGAGTGAATCCCAAAAGCTACCAGCCACCAGCAAGCAACTGAGCTCTTCACTGGCCTGAGAGAGGGACTCTGAAGGCACCTACACACATGGCACAGCAGAGGTTTTGGCCTGTTACTTCAACATAGCCACTTGGACTTTCCTGCTTTCTCCCGGAATCTGTACTGCAGTGTACGGAATGCAGTTCTAATCCCATCAAACTGATGCACGCTGTCTTTATACTTCCTGTCCCTGAGTGGCTGATGAAAGAAGGGACAGAGTAGTCTGGCCTTTACTTACTGAAACTGAGGCACATCCTGGCAAAGTTCCATGTTGAGTCGTTTAGTTCTTCCCTGCAGGCGGGTCTGAGCCACTTTCAGCGGGTACTCCTTCGCCTTTATGGATTGCTCCAGTAACATGATTGTGTCTTCTGTCTGGAAGATTTCCTGAATTATCTGAACAAAGCAGAACACCTCTGTAAGCCTCCGGAGCGTACAGAACCAGAACTCAGCCCTGCTTTTAAACACTCCTACGGAACCGCTTCCATTCTGCCCTGCCATTTTTCTTCATTTAGGGGAGGAGAGTACTATAAACTCAGGGCAGTCGATGGATTTGTATAACGTCGGCTTGATGTTGCCGTTTCTTTAAAAGGACATAAGGTAATCGAACCTCCCAGGAGAGCCAGGAGGAGGGGGCTGCACACTCGTACATCACGAGGAGGCATCTAATGAAGTTTTGCCTGGAAAATGGGCAAACAACTTCCACTAAGAAATGCACCATCTCTTTCCTATTACAAAATTAAGAAATTTGTAGGCGAATTGGGGATATAAATTCATTACAAGCAGAAGAGAAGCACTGAATTAATTGTGATGAGGGAAGTTCCAACTGTTTTTGCAATAAAGCTGTTTTCATAGAGGCAGCGTTTATGGCTCTACAGGGTTTTATTTCCATTTTGCTTCATTATCAAATTTTTCTCCCAAATAAAAAAATCTGCTGCTTGATCTATGAACATTTTGCAGAGATAAAATTCCAATAAACTGCTATTTTCATTTAAACTTTCATTCAATTCTTATTTCCTTTGCCTCATAAGAATTCAAAAGCAATCAAATAAGTCCCCTCTGAAATTGTTTCATACTCCAAGTGTTTTTTGGGACATTTGCTGCAAGAACATAAGAACACAAGTCATCTTCATACTGAAACTACGTTTTAAAAGTTTTGAAAACTCCACTGGGAGCTGGAGAGGTAAACCCAACTTCCTTTAAAGGCTTGTTTTCTGTAAATGGACAAGATACGGAGTGAAACAAAAAAGGAGAGGCCCATGGAATTAGTATAGCACAGATTTTAGCTGCAGGGCATGTTATATAATCATATTATCCCTGAGAATCCTGTAAATGCTTATGTTTTAATCTGTATGGAAAAAGAGAAATTGCAAGAGAAAAGTTTTGCTCAGTCTTAAAAAAGAAACAAGGGAGAAAAAGTTTATATTCAGGTAACATTTCTCAGCAAATTGATTGTTATGTTACTTTCATTTATGAGAATTCATTACAGCCAATGGGGCGAGCCTGTTCAAGCTTTTCCTATAAACAGCTTTAAAATGGAAGAGAACAAATTGAACTAATGTAGTTTCTCAGCCAGTCTGCTAAAATCAATGCAAGTTGAATTTCAACCACCACTAAGAATGGCATAATGTGATTTAAATTATGTAGCTATTTAGATCTTGCCTGCACACTAAGTTGTACCAGGCTTACTAATGATGTGTGTGGTTTGAAAATTCAATTAGTTCCTGCTGCTGAAAGATTATTTATAGACAAAACCTGAAGAGTTAAGAATGCCCGGAACCTGCACCCCAGTCCAAGTCCTTAAGGGCTTGCTGACGTCGGATAGTAGAGCCATGTGAAGGATCCCCTGGCTAGCACTGTCCAGAGCAGTTCAACCCTTAGAGCAATGCGATTTTCCAGCAGGTGAACCATCTTGGACCCCGAAGCAGCAGCGTATGAACACGACTGTACTGATTTGACGCCAGGTCTCCACACTGTACTGAGCTCTTTGGGACCAAGGTTGGTTCTCAAGATGCTTGAGAGCATCTTCACCCAAAAAGAAGCTTTAATGGTTTGTAGACTGCAGGGGAAAAAATCGGGTTTGTTACGAAGGGAACACAGTACGGAAGAAAGTGAAGTTACCGGTAGTAAATTTCTCCCTACAGTTTTGTTCTGCAGTGGTTCCTTCTTAAGCCCATGATCACACTAAGTTAGCAGCATTTTACAGGGAGTATTTATGTAGGTAATCCAGTGTGCTTTGGTAGCTCTTTGTTTTGCAAAGGAACTACTTACGAGAAGAGTACTTTGTTTACATCTTGTCTACAGTTTTAGAAAAAAAATGAAGGAAAGAGGCTTAATGTTGTTGAATGTCTTCATTATGCATCAAGCCCACATCCTTCCTTCTCCCTGAAAGCACCAAGGACTTGGGTTTTCTGCTGCTCAGAAGCAGAACCTGAGTAGTTTGTGCTGTTGACAGAACTTTGCCGTTTAAAAACCCCTAAGAGAATCCAGTCCTTTCATCTGTGCGTGACAAAGGTGAGGTCCAGCTCCCAGGCAGGCCACTGGTGATAAAGTGGATGCACGTCACGGAGAGTTTTACCAGCCCGTCAGTCCTGTCCTTTGCTCTCACTGCTCCCCTTCATTGCTAACCAAACCCATCAACCTGGGGACGAACCGGGGCTGCGAGGCAAAGAATACACAGTGCTTTTGGAGGTCACCCGCTGCTTAGCAGGGTCCTCCTTTCCTGTGTTTGTGTTACAGCTTCTGTCACTACAGCAGTGTTTCCCATGCTACGCCTTACCGCGTGCAAGTGAGCCAAATGCACTGTAGCAGTTCTGTTGGTGTAGTTCCGTGACGTGCAGAGGGGCATGGTGAGGATGTTGGCCTCTCGTATTAGTTCTACTAACAATTTGGAGCAAATTGTAAGCAGATTTTTTTAAAAAAAACCCTAAAACAATGAATCAAAGCAGCATGTATCTCAGCCCAGTAAGAACTGGGCAAAGTTATGTCTCAATTTCGGAAAGGTTTGTGTGTGGTACTTGTTTTCTGCTTATGGTGGAACAGAGGACTTGCACTCTAGGTTCAGATTCTGGGTAGAACCTTGGTGGTTCACGCATTGAGCTCTATTGTTAGTAACGCACTGACATGGGCAGCAGGTGGAAATGGTGATTCACCTTTGTGGAGCAAATCTGTCAATGAATCAGTGCATTGAGACCAGCCCAGAGCACTTGGTGAGAAAGGAGCCATGTGTGAAACTTGACAGGACAAGGGGTAATGAATGGGTTTAAACTGAAAGTAGGGAGGTTTAGATTAGATATCAGGAAGAAATTCTTCCCAAAGAGGGTGGGGAGGCACTGGGACAGGTTGCCCAGAGCAGCTGTGGATGCCCCATCCCTGGAAGTGTCCAAGGCCAGGCTGGATGAGGCTTTGAGCAACCTGGTCTAGTGGAAGGTGTCCCTGCCCATGGCAGGAGGGTTGGAACTGGATGGTCTTTAAGATCCCTTCCAACCCAAACCAGTCTGTGATTCTATAAAACCCCAAGAGCAGTGCCACAGCTTACACAGGTGCTCGTGTTATGGTAAGTATGTAATGTAGTCACTGTGCTGATGCTTTCTGTCCTGTGATAACATGAATCAGAACAATTCAATTTATTCAGTGCAAGGAGTTTGGTTACAAGTTGCTTTACACTTAATTAGTGCTAATTGCTCTAATCAGGTTAGAGAAGAAGATGAAATTAATATTGTCTGCAATATTTTTTTACCCTGCCTTTTTTTTTTAATTTGGAAGCAGTATGGGTATCATGTTTATTCCACACATGGAAGGAAAGCAGGAAGCCATCAAAGAGGACACTGGATGCTCACAGAAACACACTGCAGAGATTCTGGAAGCATTACACAAATTTATAAGAGGACCAGGGAAGAAATTTAGTAGTCTTCAGTATTTCAGATAACAGCTGCCACAAATTCTCATTATGCAGAATCATCGAATCACAGAATGGCTTGAGTTGGAAGGGACCTTAAAGCCCATCCAGTTCCAACACCCCTGCCATGGGCAGGGACACCTTCTACTAGACCAGGTTGCTCCAAGCCTCATCCAGCCTGGCCTTGAAGACATCCAGGGATGGGGCATCCACAGCTTCTCTGGGCAACCTGTCCCAGTGCCTCACCACCCTCTCCGAGAAGAACTTTTTCCTGATATCAAATCTAAAGATTATCTATGTAATGTAAAGATTGGCTACACCAAACCATGGCCATTCCAGCACCATGTGACAATGCTTTTGTAATGGTTGGGAGCCCTTTACTCCCCGTCTGCTTGCGTAAAAAAATCAATTACATATCAGGTTGGGTTTTTTAAGATGTAGAAGGAACAAACTCATTCTAGTCCAGACAACACTGAGCAGATTGCCCATGTATGGACTGTCCTCAGCCTCCTGCAAAGGCTTCAATTGTCTTTAAGCTCAACTAGCAGAGGGAACTTTAGAAGAGGATTTTTCTGACCCCACGCTTTTCTCTGTATGTGGCCACAGTACAACAGCCAGATCACAAACCCATGGTTTCAAATTCAGTAGTAGGTTTCAAGTGCATGAATGCTGGTAGTGATCAAAGCTGAGGTTTGTTCCCGTTCCCCCGCAGCACTCGCTGCGCTGTCAGACAACACCTGGCTGGGCCTCTGCCCGCTCTGCTCATCGCACACGCAGAGGTGTTCCATTAGCGACACCGCAGCAGGAGGCTCTGTTGGCCTCTCTTTTTAGAATACCAAGTCATGTATGCGCTTCCCCTGTAAATAATGGCATGTAACTCACACAGGACAATAGTAGTCTTGTGTCTAGGAGTGACCTGAAGGTTGTAGTTTGCACAGCCTACAAATCCACACAATATTAATGTTCTAAAAGGGCAAGCTCTGAAGTCTACACAGACAATATTTCACTTTAATAATGAACTACTGGATCCTGAATATAGATTTTACCCAAAAGTCACTGAAAACTTAGTTTTACATCCAGCCTTTGTAACGTTTTGTGTTGGCACAGTGTGCAGTGACCACATTGTCGTGCCACACGACTTCGCTAGGTGCTCTGCTGTCCTGCTCGTAAGGGTCGGAGTAGCCTGCAAGCACGTTCTGCACAACCAAGGCAACTGATTGTGCACAGGGGGCGCTACTGAGCAACCCCCTCATTCATTGGCTAGTGAAAAATATTGCTTAAACCTGTCTGTGAACTCAAAGTTCAAACATGAACCATACGTCCATCCTGCAGCCCTGGTTGGCTGCGTGTAAGTGGATGTGGTTTAGGTTCATTGTGTGGTCTTAAGTTTTTTGTTACTTTTTTTTTTTAAAAAAAAACCCTCTGTCATTTAAAACATGCAAAGAAAAACGTTCTCCGGGGAATCCCCTCCAACACATCGCAGCAGCTTTGTACAAAC